CGCTCCGATTTTCCCAGCCGGCCCTTTCAGAAGAAGAAATCCAAATCTAAAAACACAAATTCACTTTCGCTAAATTAAAAAAAAAAAAAAAAACACAAGATTTAGGCGGAGAATAAGAAAAACAACATGCAGATCTAAGAATGAAAAACGGGGAGGAATATGAGGCAGAGGGAAGGAAAACTAAGGTTTGGTGCTCTATATTCTAGAGGAGAAGTTTAACGCAGATGGTAGTGGGCGGGAATTGCATGGAAGGGGGAGGTCGTTTATATAGTTGGAGTGGCCTCACGGATGGGCCAGATGAGCGGCGGGCCCGGAATTCTACCCCAAACAAATATCTTTTGGATCCTGAGTCCTGACAATATAACGCCGGTTGTTTATGATATAAGAATAATTTTATTATATTATTTTTTTTTGTATAATTTATGTATTATTTAAAAAATTATTATTTTTATTTATTTCAAATTATAATATTAAATATAATCACTCATTTAATAATATATAAAAAAATCATATAAAAAATTAGTTTTATATCACTGTCCGGTGTTTTATGAACCAACTAACAATGCATTTTAGGCATTTAGCAATAGATTTGGTCGAGGATCAGCACGTGGAAATCACGTGGTGGGATACAATTGGGAAAACTTTGCTTTAGTCCTTGAACTTTTTTTTTCCTATTAATGGAGCCTTTTTTTGCCAAATATACCAATTAAGCATTCAACCAAACCTTTTAACAATTGAACCGTTTTTTTTTTTACAAAAATCTAACTTATACACTTTTACAATTAATCATTGATTTGATGAAAAAAATTTCTTTTCTAAAAAAAACCATATTTTCAAGTAAGAAATTGATAAAATTGGCTTATAAAATATAAATGTTACTTTGTGTTAAGGGGATTTCAATTCTTAAGAAATTAGTTCGGTCTCAATCGGAAAGGGGCAAATGTTTGAGAGCAAAAAGTGAGGTTTTTTCTCATACCGTTTGCAATGAATAAAAATAATCAAATCACAACTGTATTCACCGAAATACTTGTATCTATAGTTTTATTTGATTTTTTAAGTCGAAAGTTGACAATTAAATTTACTAAATTTAGCAGAGAAGACAAAAAAGCCAAACTTGCCACTTTTATTTTATTTTAGGATTTTTCTAATATGTACTCTTAAAATAGAGTATTTTTTGTCATAAATATGTATTAAAAAAAATAAAAATTGATATTAATTTCAAAGTTATTACTACTCGAATAAATTTAATTGAAAGAACGATAAATTAAATATTAATATTTATTTTTTGAAAAAGACCCTTAATAGCACAAATTAAAAAAACATTTTATTTTATTTTTGGCGTTTTTAAAGTCTGCAGTTCCCAACTCATTAAATTTTTTGGAGTTTGAGGGCATGGGTTAAAACTCATTAATTATGGTATTTTTAATTAATTTTACATAAATTTTTATATTAAATTCATAAATTTTATAGATTTTAAAATAAAATAAATAATTATATTATATTTTATTAAAATCTTATATAAAATTTTGTATAACATTAATTATAATATAATACTAAATGAGGTCTCACACTTGGTGGCCTATTGGCTACCCCTTTGTGAAACGTGCGTAGGATTAGCGAATCTGAGATCAAATCCAAGATCTCCCTTTCCCTTCTCAGAAAAAATTTCACACTGTTAAAAAAAAATATATAATAATAAATGAGATTTAACTCATATATATATATTTTTTAACAGGGGAAAATTGTAGAGGAAGAATAGTAAAACCTGAAATTTTAACTCAAGTCATTATGTTCACACAACCATTCAAGGAGATGACTATTAAGCCACCAAAAGTTGGACATAAGACTTAACTTATATAGTAGAACACAAATTAAAAAAAAAAAATTTCAGGAAACGGATCAAGAAAAAGAGTCCATTAAATTCAACTCCAACAAAATATTTTACTGCACCGGGGGAGAAAAGGACGATACATTAGTAAAATAAGCGCGAGAAAAGAGGTGAGGACTGGGGGCGTTAGGAAAGGGGAGGCAAACCTTATCTCCGAGAGAATCTCCGACTTTGACCCTTCCATCAATATGTCGAAAGCAGACGTTTACCAGACACCTGGTCCACACGTTATTATTATTTTTTTTGAGGAAGACAATAGTTAGAAATGTTAGTGTATAGGGAGGGTATTGAACCCGAAACATAGGAGGCAAACCACGGCCTACCCTAAATAGCAGCAAGTAGCTGTTGTGCCATGCACGTGGAATGCGGTCCACACGTTATTAGGTAATTAGGTAATTTGGTATTGTATAATTTAAATTATATTAAATTAATATAATAAAAAAATCACTTTTTTATGGGGATTTTTTTCATTAGTTTTTTGTCATTTGATGTCCATTTAGCATGGCAAAACCAAAGAGTTACAAAGAGTCTCTCAAAGTTTCACGGGAAAGGAGCACAAAGGATTGTTATTTCTGAACAATTCCTAAAATGAAACAACGCAATCCATAATTATATACTACCAAACCCACATCAAATGATAACAAGACATGAATAAAATGGCAACACAAATACATATACTACTTAATCATATGGCTTCCAAATCAAAAGCCAAGTTCCATGTCAACTCTTATAGCAACTCAACTCTAAATTCTTCACATGTCAATTTTTCTACACCAAATTACAAAACACTAATAATTGGATAAATGAATCCACCTATATCAATAGTATTTCATCATCTAATGGATAGTATGTTACAAATTAAACTATAAAACATTTCTTTTTTGTTTGGAAAACGGGATCCTTAATTGAAAAGAAGAAAAAAAAAAGGGCATACGGAGGACTAATGTGAAACAAATAAAAAAATAGGTTGAAATTGAGAATTTTTAACAGTGTAAATTGTAAAAGCTATGAACGGATGAACCTATACAGTTCCCCACCACTCCCCACCCCCCATTCCCCATTTCACCTCGTCCTCCTATCTAAGAAACCGTAACGTAGCCTCCACCTTTTCTTCTCCGATCCATTCACCTTTTCCGGCCTTCCCTTCGCTTCTACAGCGCCGTCATCTGGCTTCCATCCTTTCCTTCTCTTTTCTAGTACGCGAAAGACTTTAGATAAGTTTCGTTTATACAAACCTAACCTCCTAGCTGCTCCTCCCTTCCCTTCTCACCAGCGCTTCTACTCCGATCCGACTGGCGATCACCGCCCTCCAACAGCCAGTGGTCTCCTCTTTTGGCCTATGAACGAGATTCTGAGTACATCGCAAGCCTCACTCTCCTCACGGTACTTTTCTGATCCAATCGACAGCGCTTCTCCGTCGTTTTGTTTCAGTCTTCCGAAGAGGGAACACTTCTCTCTTCACCGGTGCCTCACTTTTAAAACGGATAGCCAATTTACACTTGGATGTGTCGCAATTATTCTGCTTTTTTTTTTTTAATATAATTTTTCTAAGATAGAGCCGGCATGAAAAAAGAATTGTTTTATTGGTAGAAGTAGTACTGAAAATCCATGATTAGAAACTATCATAGTGAACTCAACTGATATAGGGGCGTCTGGATTAGCGGTTCGATGCAGCCATAATTGATATCATACGGTTGATAGTTAGTGTTGTTCATTATCTAAATATGTTAATTTTGTATAATTAACTGCTAATAGATATCCTCACACCTATACCAAACACCTCTCCAGCATAAGTGGAAATGAGTTTAACTACCAGTGTCTTTGTTTCCAGGAATGTATGGCTATATTTTGAAATTTAATTACCATCTAAGCGCGAGAATTTGTTGGGTGTGTTTTCCATATTTTCTTCTGTTTGATTTATGTTTCTAACTTTCTATTTTATGCAGGAAAACTAAGAAAGCTTTGAGCATTTTTGAAAGCATTGGGGCAAGCATTGTGTACTATTTAAGATGACTGATAAACTTGAAGATCCAGTTTCTCTAGATGAGGAAATTAGCTTGGAAGCTGAGGAGTCAATAGCTTGGAATCAAAAACAAATCATTGTCTTGTATCTCTAAAGGAGATATGGTATGGACAACATCCAGAAGAGCATTTTGGCAAACTAAAGGTGGTGGAACTCACCTGTTTTCCTAGGAAATCGACTTTTCTTCCACCTCTTTTCTTCCAGTCTTTGCCCAGTCTTGAAAAGCTTGTTGTGAGGAATTCTTTCATCAATGAAGTATTCCAATGTGAAGAAGTTGGTGTTGAGGAAAAACCTTGAGTATGTGGACACACTCCATTATGCGAACTAAGGCCGTACAAACTCCATGAGCTAACACATCTTTATAAGGAAGAATCTCAAATTTAATCAATTTTTAGTAACCTAAAAACTCTAGATGTTCAAGAATGTAGCAGATGGAAGAATTTAGTGCCATCCAATGTACATTTCAACAATTTGCAGACTTTGGAAGTATCCAAGTGTCATGGACTTGTCAATTTAGTGAGATACTCAACTGCAAAAGGCCTGGTGCAACGCAAAACAATGCAAGTAACCAAATGTGAGATGAGAGAGGAAATTGTGGTATGCTTAGGTGATGATGTGAAGGATGGAATTATTTTCGCCAAGCTGAAGTATTTGCAACTTGAAGGTCTACCAAGACTAGCAAGCTTCTGTTCAGGGGTTTGCAACTTTGAATTCCCAGATTTGGAAGTTGTCATTGTTAGAGACTGTCCAAATATGCAGATTTTCTCCAATGGAGAACTAAGCACACCAAAACGGGCCAAATTGAAAGAATATTATGGGGATGAAGGACGCTGGGAGGGCAACCTTAACTGCACCATACAACAGGTGTTCAAGGAAAAGGTATGCATTATTCTGAATGCTCCCTGGTGTATTTTTACCTTTTAAAGATTATTCTTCTCCTTAATTATCCAATTAAAGACATGATCAAATTAATTAAAGTATCTCCTTCATTATGATTTTCATAATTTAGAAAAATTGCATCTGCTTCTCCCTTGTTAATGACAAATGCACCAGGGTGGAAGGCCAAGATAATTTAATGAAATTCTTTTCTTTTAATTTGCTTTACAAATCAGGGAAAAGATTTTCAGTCATAAATTAACATTTTTGCTGCAATTTTTTCTTTTACCTTTCATTGTGTTCTTCCAAAAAAGGCGATGCTCAATGGTTCTAAAGAAGACAGTGATCATCACTGAAGAAGATTTATGTTAATTAATTTTTTCTGCTACCTAATAGATTGTGTTAATCAATGGTTCTAACGGTGTTGGGATTTAGTTGACATTTGCATCTTGAAGAGGATCTTGTGTTCATACTTAACTAGGCGTAATCTTGGAAATCTTTCTATATAAATATATTATATCTTTCTCATAGCATGGTATGCATGAGAGAAGCATTATTTTTTTCCTTGCCTTTTCTTGTTAAAAACCCTTATCTTATCCATATGACTGGCTCGTCCTTGCTTTCTGCACCTTTAACATATGTTGTTCTTATAGTGTTACAAAATGCCTAAGATTTTGAAGAAAGCAATATTGGTCTTGTAATTCTGAAAGAGAATGGTGATGTGGATTCTGAGGTGAGAGTGCCTTCGGCTCCCATCATCTTCACTTATCTGAGTTGTCTCATGTACCTTTCATACAGAGTTACATACATCTCTTACATAGAGCTATATATATTGATGATGCTTTCTTATTTCCTTGTAGGTTTTAAAGGTGCACTCATAATAATTGTTTGGATTCATGCTACCAAGTTCCCACATTGTTGATTTGACACATGAAAAAGTAATTTTCAATTCTAAAATTGATCTATTTCAATTTTTAAACTCGTGTAACATGAAATATTATCAAGCACTTAATTTTGCAAGCCACTAGATTGTTTCATTTTATTTTTCTTGATGCATTTATTTTATTGTATAAAAGAGAGTATTTGAATCTTTTATTCAGAAAGGAGCTATTCATTTTAATTTTACAATCAAATCGTACTCTATTTTTAATGAGAAGATTAGTCAATGACTGTTTTATTCTTCAATTAACATTTAGCAATCATGCACAACTCAATCAACTTTTAGTAATATCTTCTTCTGTTCAAAATGTTAGAGTTGATTGTAGGGGTGGTTGTAATTAAAGCACAAATGGCACACTTTGCAGCATTTCCATACTTTACAGTTTAGGAACATGTGTTCAAGTCCCAAATTCCATTTCTTTAAACTGCAGCAATAGCAAATATCACATGCGTGTAGATAAATTACATTTCTTGCATGCATAACTGAGTTCAAACATCACTCTAAGTATCATTTTCATCATAACATTTCAAACTAGTCTTAACATA